CAAGGCTGCGGTGGGCACAGGGGTGGTCTCGGCCCATCCACACCCCCACCTGGCCCCTCCCACCGCGGCCCCCGATTCTCCGTCCCCTGTCTGCTGGCAGCCCCGCTCCTGCGACCAGTGCTCCCACACGCTGACGGTGCCAGCCCCACTCGCACCCGCTGATGGTGTGGAGTGATTGGGGCTGGTGCCAGCAGCAGGTGTGAGGAGGGCCAGTGCTGTCAGTGGGTGTGAGTAGCAGCTGCTGCCCTGATTGCCTTCAGGAGCAGGGGGAGGTGGAGAAGCCCTCTGGGGTGATTGGGGCCCGCAGCTGCCACTCGCACCTGTTGATGGAGCTAAGCCATCAGGACCGGCGTCAGGCACTGGCAGCAGATGCGAGCAGCAGCTCCAGCATCGGCAGCGGATGTGAGAGGGGCTGTCGCTTCAGCGGGTGTGAGCAGGGCCGGAGCTGGCAGCAGGTGTGAGCTATGGAGCAAAGAATTTTCAGTAACCACCAGTGGCTTGCCCCGATGACAGCAAGATGACAGCAACCAGCGCCCCGCCTTGGTCTGGAGCCCCCGCTCACCTGCTCCACCATCTCATTGTGGCCAACACCCGCCATTTCTGTGCACACCCCTGGTGGTCAGCGCATGTCATAGCGACCAGTTGTTCGGTTGTTTGGTTGTTCCTCTGTTCCACCTATTTGCATATTAAGGTTTTATATATATAGACTAGAGGCCCGGTGCACAAAAATTTGTGCACTCGGGGGGGAGAGGGGGTCCCTCAGCCCGGCCTGTGCCCTCTCGCAGTCTGGGACCCCTCGGGAGATAACGACCTGCTAGCTTAGGCCTGCTCCCGGGTGCCAGAGGGCAGGCCCAATCCATAGGTGCAGGCCCTGGTCGGGCTCAGAGCAGGGTCGATTGTGGAGTTGGGGTGCCGCCCCCTGTCATGCACAGAGCAGGGCGGATTGGGAGGATGCAGTGCCACCCTCAGTCACGCTCAGGGTAGGGCCGATTGGGGGGTTGGGGCACTGCCCCCTGTCACACTCAAGGCAGGGTCGATGGGGAGGTTGCGGTGCCACCCCCTGTCACGCACAGAGCAGGGCCCATCAGGGGGGTTGTGGCTCCGTACCCTGTCACGCACAGAGCAGGGCCCATCAGGGGGTTGGGGCGCCGCCCTCTATCACACACAGAGCAGGGCCAATCGGGGTTGGGGCGCCATCACTGTCACACTCAGGTCAGGGCCGTTGGGGAGGTTATGGCTCTACCCCATCACAAACAGAGCAGGGCCCGTGGAGGGGGGATTGGGGCGCCGCCCTCTATCACCCATAGAGCAGGGCCGATCAGGGGGTTGGGGCACTGCCACTGTCACACTCAGGGCAGGGCCAATGGGGAGGTTATGGCTCTACCCCGTCACACACAGAGCAGGGCCCGTGGGGGGGGGGGGGGGGTTGGGGCACTGCACCCTGTCACACACAGAGCCGCAGGGCGATCAGAGGGTTGGGGAGCTCCCCCATATCAGGCACAGAGCAGGGCTGATCAGGGGGTTGGGGCGCCTTCCCCTGTCACGAGCAGGGCAGATAGGGAGGTTGTGGCCCTGCCCCCTGTCACACACAGAGCTGCAGGGCGATCAGGGGGTTTGGGTGCTGCCCCCGTCACACTGATCCCGGTGCCGGGAGGCCTCGTGGCTCCGCTGATCCCGGTGCTGGGAGGCATATTACCCTTTTAGTATATAGGATAGAGGCCTGGTGCACAGGTGGGGGCCGGCTGGTTTGCTCTGAAGGGTGTCTTGGATCAGGGTGGGGGTCCCCATTGGGGTGCCTGCCAGTCTGAGTGAGGGGCTGAGGGCTGTTTTCAGGCTGGCAGGTGACTGAAGCTCCCAACTGCTCCTTTTTTTCTTTTTCTTTTTTATTCTGGCCAGCTTTAGCTCTGGCTCCAGCTCTGAGGCCTCTGTTGCTGAAAGCAGGTATCTGGTTTGTTTGGGTTTTATAATCAAGACACTGTATCAACTCCAGCTCTGAGATCCCAGCTGGCTGAAAGCAGGTTTCTGGGGTTTTGTTTAACTTCTATATTTGTAACAATGTTTCAAACTGCAAGCTCAGAGGCCGGCAAGGCAGACGGGGAACGTTGGTTTCCTCCATCACTGAAGCAAGCAAGCCTCATGTTAGCTTCAAGCTGCCTGGCTTCTGGCCGCCATCTTGGCTGGCAGTTAATTTGCATATCGCCCTGATTAGCCAATAGGAAGGGTAGCGGTCGTATGGCTAATTACCATGTTTCTCTTTTATATATATATAGATTGTCTCTCTTTTAGTTTTATATAAGTTGAATCATACAGCTGTGTCTAGCTTTTTTATGTGTGTCTGATGGTTTTTGGTAGACATTGTTTTTGTGGGATTTATCCATGTGGTTGCATATTGCAGTAGTTTGTCCTTTTTCTATTTGGTGTAGTAGACTATAGTAGAATGCATAAGTACCACAATTATGCATTTTCCTGTTGATGGGTGTTTGAGTTGGTTCAAATTGGGGACTAGAAGCCTTTTTGTACATGTCTTTTGAACACATTGCTATTGAGCATGTACACATTTCTGTGTTCTGTATACTGAGGAAAGAAACTGCTAGGTTGCCCTGGCTGGTGTGGCTCAGTTGGTTGGAGCATCATCCCATACATCAAAAGGTGGCGGGTTTGATTCCTGGTCAAGGCACATACCCAGGTTTTGGGTTCAATCCCTAGTTGGGATGTGTGCAGGAAGGAACAAATCTAAACTCATTTTTAAAAAAGAGGCAAAAGCCCTAGCTGATTTCTTCAGTAGTTAGAGCATCAGCCTGCTGACCGAAGGGTTGCAGGTTCAATTCCATTCAAAGGTACGATCCCTGGCCCTGGTTGGGGCACATGCAGGAGGCAACCAATCAATGTTTCTCTCCCTCTGTCTCTCCCCCTCCCTTACACTCTCTATAAAAAAATAAAATCAATGGAAAAAATATCCTCGTGTGAGGAAAAGAAATTGCTAGGTCCTATGGTATGCATATGGTCAATTTTAGTAGGTACTGCCCCATTGTTTCCCAAATGACCCTGACATTTTACCCTCCTGCCAGCAGTATGAGAGTTCCATATACTCTGTCCTTGCCAAAACTTGGTATTGATGGCGTGTTTTTTTTGTTTTGTTTTGTTTTTTTGGTTGGTTGGTTTTGTTTCTTGGTTGTTGTTTGTTTTTGGTGACTGATTTAGAACATTACTTTTAAAAGTCTGCCCAGTTTTTTTATTATGTGAGTATACCATAATTTAACTAATCTTTTGATGGGCTTTTGCCCTCTTCCTTCACTACCGGGACAGCGCTAAAATCTAGTGGGCTCAGTGTTTATTCTGTACGATCTGACTGTGTGTGGGAGATTCAATACTGAAAGTAACAGTACTGATATAGTCTATCTTTTCTTAAAAGATTTTCCTCAAATTCTCTTTGTTTTGAGTAGTATGGTACTGATGTGAAGAATCCACATAAAAATGTTTTATTTTGTTGACATGAAAATCAATTTTGATTTCATAGTGGAAAACGGTTTTCTTTACTCTTGTTTAAAAGTAATGTAATAATCTGAATCTGGACTTGTGGTAAGGCATTGCTAAAGACAGCCAACATTAAATAATTTGCATTCTCTTAGAACAAGCATAGAGTGCTGGCTGCCAGCACCTGCTTCACATAGATCGTCAGTCCATTGGAAAACCACTGTGTGAATTATTTGAGAATGTAATCACTTAGGTTTTGTAAAACTGAATTTCACCCTTTGGAAATGAAAGGTGGTTCCAATCAGGGAACCTTGCTTCACAGCCCAACTTGTCTTTTAACAAAGCTTCCCTCCCCCATTTCTGCAAGTTTTCTTCTAACATAGGTTTTTAAAAGTATGAAACTCGAGGGGCTTGCTTTTAATGAGTTAAATATAATCACCAGGCCTCCTGCTTCTCATGTTAGGGGGTGTGATTACTTCATGATAACCACTCTTCCTGTTGTGCATTATAGCTTTAAACAGGTGTTGTCACAGGTGGTATTCAGTACTATCAGTTACCATAAGTAATTCCTTGGGAGAGTTAAGATACTGTTAACCCTCTCTGATAGCTGACTGGTCCTTTAGAAAGTGCCTTATGGACATATAAGACAGTTTCATCTTTCCTATTATTCTTTGCTTTGCTAGTTGTATGTTAAATTATTCATTTTTGGAATAGTTATAATGACCAGAAGGAGCAAGTGGTTCTCATACTAGTCAGTTTTAGACATGCTTTTTTAATTTCACATGTGGAGGTTTTCCCCATTTCTAATTAATTGCTGTCAAGAGCTTCTTACTTATAGCTGGAAACTTCTGCTTTATATTCTGTTCAGTTTTTTGAAAAGCCTGTGTTAGAAGACTGCCTTTACCACTTGAGATTTCTTAAGAGTTCATATTGCAGCAGAAGTCTAAAAGTCTTCCATTTCTTAGTTTTCTGTACTAATAGTAATGAATCTGAAATGCCTAAATGAATTAACAAATAAGCCAGAAACTTTATTGAAGAGAGCATTTTCAATAACCTCTTTTTTCCCCAGCCCCTAACTCTTTTATCAGTATCAATAATTAGTAGCAAAACTTGCTGGCTTGATTTTTTTTTCTTTTCAATATCTATTAAAAGTTCTAATATTCTAAACCAGGATTGGGGTGGAGGTGGTGGTAGCTGGAGGAGCACAAATCTAATCAATTTGTGATTAATAAGTGTTACTTAGGAATCTCTTCATGTATCTCATATTTATGGACCAGGTTTAGAGATTGATTTTAGAGACCACTTTCAAATCTTGATTAATAAAATGCTGATCTCTAGTAGATAATTCTGAATATATCCTAGCACGTTTAGCCAGCTTTTACCAAGAAGCCCAATATAAGAGTTGTTTAAGTTGCAGCTTTCTTATAAAGAAGAGAATAAAGAACCAGCAACCTAGAACCAAGAGAACCCTCCTTAATTTCCCCGCAACTTCATTACTTGCAACAGCTGTTTCTCTTTCTACATAGGTATCAGTCAGAGCCGGATCTCTCACTGGCTGTTGCAACAGGGATCAGACCTGAGTGAGCAGAAGAAAAGGGCGTTTTACCGTTGGTATCAACTGGAGAAGACAAACCCTGGTAAATATCATTTTCTTTTTTCTTTGCATATGAAATGAGACATATGTAATTAATTGCTTTATTGAATCCATGTGCTACCTTGTTTTCATCATGGTAGTTTCAGACTTTACTGTTTTTCTTTTAAGCCAAAGAAAAACTGCAAAACCTAAGCCCTGTTGTACCAATTTTTTATTTAGTGTCTAATGTCATCTAAGGTGCCTCTGTTTCCAGTTTTTTGATATTTCTAACAAGAGTTGGAAAGAAAAGTCATGGTTGTCAGTGGGCGATTTTCTTCTTCTCAACTATAGGTACACATAAGATTCCATGTCTAGTTTTTTTTTTTTTTTCTTTAATCTTGTTTTAGTGGTATAAACTTATACTTTCATTTACTCCATGCTATACCTTATCCAATGATCTCTGCTAATGGTTTTCTAATTCTAATTACCTGGGTGGTAAGTGTGTCTTGGACTTATGCGGAAGCTGTCCAAATGACTTTGGGAGCAGCAATAGGTTGGAAAGTAGAATAAAATCTTAAGGAAAAAGATCACAGAAACCTTTGTGTCTAAGGTTGCCAGGGATAGGCAAATTCTAGTACAGGATACTTTTAACAAGTGGTATATAAAGTAAAACCTGAAGTTGTGTGACAGACTGTCTCAGTCTACACATAACAGACTGATGGCAGTGAGCCCGATGTCAAGTTGACCTTGTGATTGAGCTGTCTTCTGTAATATTACAGCATTAAATCCTTTGCTTACAGACTGAATTACCAGTTGTAATATTGCATATTGGAGACTCTTAGCTAATAATAGCATTGGCCCTGAGGCAGGAATAAAGAATGTTATAGAGACATATATTTCTGTGTGTCTGTGGTAAGATATTTTTCAGAGATCACGTTCTTGACCTGAAAAGCCCAGGCAGGCCCAAACAGAAGAGAACATATTAACCTCTCTGCAGTGAATTTTTTATCAACCTGACCCCCAGTTTCTATTTTGAAATGTTTCAATGTACAGAAAAGTTAAAAGACCAACACAGTGAATATCTGTTCACCCTCTTCTTAGATACAGTAATTGTTAACATTTTGCTACATTTGCTTTATTCATATAAAATAAATTAATTAAAAACTTACATATATAGTCCTGACCGGTTTGGCTCACTGGATAGAGCGTCGGCCTGGGACTGAAGGGTCCCAGGTTCGATTCCGGTCAAGGGCATGTACCTTAGTTGCAGGCACATCCCCAGTGAGGGGTGTGCAGGAGGCAGCTGATTGATGCTTCTCTCTCATCGATGTTTCTGACTCTCTATCCCTCTCCCTTCCTCTCTGTAAAAAATCAATAAAATATATTTAAAAAACAAAAACAAACTTATATGTATGTTTGCATGTATACACACACTCTCTTTAGCATTCATCTCCAAAAAAAGAGTAATCACCTACGTAACACAGTTCCTATGATCATACCTAAGAAAATTAATAATAATTTGCTGGGGCTGATCAGCAGCCCCTGAACAATGGACGAACAGATTACTCTGACACAGTTTCACTGTGGGGGAGAGGGCTAAGGGACAGCCCAGCTGAAAGAGCCAGGCAGCCTCGATTGCCTGCCTCATTAGACTTTTATTGGAATTTTTATCTTTAGATAAAGTCAGTAGGGTGAGTAATCTTGGGAGGACACATGTGTTTACATTGTCCTCAAGGCAAGGACATCCAGGGATTAAGCATAAGGATTCCAGTAAACACCCGGGGGTCTGCACATGCACAGACTTGTTTGGAATGGTCAAGGAATAATTAGGGGCACTGCCTTCCACACTCCCCTTAGGCTCCCCTAAGTCGGAATTCCGATGAACAGGGCAGGCGGCCTTCTACACACTTCCCTTTTCTCGGAATGTCCTCCTTACAACTTTCCAACCAAGTCTCTTGTGCTCCCCAGCAATAATTCCTTAATATCATCTAATATCCAGTCCATATTTACATTTCTGTAGATGTTATAAGAATGTCTTTGATAACTTTTTAAAAATTGAATAGTATCTGATTTAGGTTGACAAGTTGGAATTTGTTATGTGTTTTAAGACTCTTAAATCTAGTCACTTAAACTTTTTTTATGACAAACTTTTAAAATCATTTAATATTATAATGTCTCATATTCTGGATTTTTAGTTTTCTTTTATTATCAATTAACTAATCTCTTTAAGTATTTCCCATAAACTGGAAGCTAGGATTAGAGGCTTGATTAGATTTAGGTTAAACATTTTTGGCAAGAATACTTCATGGATTATTTAGAGAGGGCATGTGTTAATGCCTGCAATTTACTTTGAAATGCATAAAAGTAAAATGAATAGGAAGATGATAAAGAAATGTGATAAAGTTAGTACTGTGTTGTAAAATACTAGATAGTATGAGTACAGATTTTTGCTATAAATTCTTTCATTGTTCTGTATGTTTGAAAATTTTCACAATAAAACATTGGGGCAAAATGCTTGTTAAGTAATGTTTACCTCAATTTACCACATAACCAGAGGTGTATAATGGCAGGTTGTAGCATTATTCATATGCTAAGTTTGATCATTTGTTAAAAGTAGTGGTCACCAGGTCTTGTTGTTATAGTTTATAAATAATCTACGGGGTGTAATTTTGCCACTGAATGACTCTCCTCTTAGACTGTTTGCCACTAGTCTTAGCATCCTTTGATGATGCTCATCTGAATCAGTTGCTCCAATGGAGATCGCAAAATGGTGATAGTCTAATCTAACATTCCTTCAGCATTTATTAGCTGGCAGTTTTTCTGCAAAGGAATTTCATTTTTAAATATTTTTCTAATGATATCTAGACATAAAAACCTCTCAAAAATAATGACTCGTTGCTGCCATTAGTTAAATGTTCTAAATTAGCACATTTCAGTAGAAATATAATGCAAATGACATGTGCAATTTTAAATTATCTAATAACCACATTTTAAAAGGTGAGAAATAGCTAAACTTAATATATTTTATTTAAGAAATATATATTATTATTCATCATTTAATCTTTCTTTCTCTTTGTACTGATTCTTTGAAATACAATATATGTTTTACACTTAAAGCACCTATGTCCAATCAGCCACATTTCAAGTGTTGAATAGCCCCATGGGCTAGTGGCTACTGTATAGGACAGCACAGCAGCACTTCAATCTCAGCTTACAGCAATCTTCCCAAAGATAGCACTTCTTCCATAATTCACAGCAGAGCAAATCACATGAAGAGGGACAGAGCTTGGCACTTGTCTATCTAATTAATAGAGCAGCTTTAGGCTGGCTGGTAGCAAGGGTTCAGCTAAGTAACTAAGGAATTGTGCTTGGGGGTTTCATGACCTGGTCACATTCCACAAATTGGTTACCAGGGAGCACCAGAGAGATTGTCAGGATGTTCCAAAAATGAAGAATTTGGAGGGCAAATACTAGTCATTTGTGTCAGGCAGTCGTCCTCCTTAAGAGAAGGAATTTGTCACTTGTATTTGGCACTTAGAACAATGCCTAATGTATAATCTTATCACAGTTGGTGGTGCTAAATTTCCACACTGAGATTCAGGGCTGGGCTCCAGTCCCAAGCAGGAACTTGGATACCAGGAAAACAAATTAACTAGAAACAGGAAGGAGAGACCAAGGTGCAGCATTTTTGCAGTTGATCTGATACCACTTCCCAACTGCAGAATACTATTGTTGGAATTCAGATTTTAGCACTGAGGTGGATATTGTGTTCTTCTGAAAATTATTGTTTTATTTTTAATCTTAGTTCCTATTTCAAGCTATCTTGGAACCAGAGCTAGGTTCACCCATCAGCAGGAAATTGGAGAAAATTGGAACTAAGGCATTGAAACAAGAAAAATGGGAAAGGACTAACATCATTCATCCAGCTGTTGATGAGAAGCTGTTTTCTTTATGGAGATAGTGCCCCTGTTAAGAATAAATTCCCTTAGTCATATGCATTTGCTGTTCAATAAAGTTGCATTGCCAGCTATCCCTTTTTTTCTGGGTGGTTTCTGTTTGTTTGCTAGCTTTTTTTGTTTTTGTTTTTAATTTGAAAATCAAATCTATACTGGTTCTGAGTTCTCCAATTTTCTGTAGGACATAATTTGAAAAATGAGTTCATAATTGAGTTGGTAGTTTTCATTGCATAAACAGTAATTGGATGTTAGCAATTAAAATTTAATTTTTAAAGATTTTATTTGTATTTCAATCTTTATTATAAGAGCTAATATGCTATAGAATTCTTTCTAAAGATAAGTGCTGGATAAGTGCAGTTTTATTTTTTGTTCAATTACAGTTTACATATAACATTATATTAATTTCAGGTGTACACTGCAGTGATTAGACATTATATAACTAAGTGATCATCCAATATATCTTGTACCCATTTGACACCATACATAGTTATAATACTAGGGGTCCAGTGCACGAATTCATGTACCTTGAAAGGAACTGTGGGCCGAGAGGCTGTGGTGAGCACAGGGGCAGGTCTTGCCTCATCCTCCGTGCCCCTGCCCGGCCCCTCCCACCTCCGCCCGCAGCCCCCAGGAGCTGACAGCACCAGCCCCTCTTGCACTCGCTTATGGTGCAGAACGCCTGGGGCCGGCGCCAGCAGTGGGTGCAAGCAGAGGCTGCCGGTCCCAATCACCCCTCAGGAGCAGGGGGAGGTGGAGAAGCCCTCAGGGGCGATTGGGGCCAACACTGGCAGCAGGTGTGAGCACCAGGTGGACCACAATGTGCAGAAGCAAAGAATTTTCAATAACCACCAGAGGCTCGCCCCAATGACAGTGACCAGCACCCTGCCTTGGTCTGGCACCCCCGCTCACCTGCTCCACCATCCTGCCACAGCTGAGGCCCTACATGTTCCATGCTCTGCTGCCAACGCCCACCATGTTCCATGTGTGACCCCTGGTGGTCAGGGCACATCATAGCAACCAATTGTTCAGTTGTTCGCCGTTTGGTCTATTTTAAAAAATATATATTTTATTGATTTTTTTACAAAGAGGAAGGGAGAGGGATAGAGAG